GGGGTCCTCCCCCAAAAAAAAAAAAAAGGCAAAAGTCTCATCTCAGAAAAATAATTCCGCAAAGTTCTTTGTCGTCCTGTAACATGGAAGAAGTCACAACGTTCACAGCTGACAAACCTTCACAAATCTTCACAGTGGCAGAGCTCCAGGAAATCAAAAGCGGACTAGGCTTAAGCAGGTCTGGGAAGAAGAATCATTGGAGTTCTAAAAAGGGATTCAAACCCAGCACAGACTACGTGCAAATTCTCAGAATCTGCGGCCATTTTCCTTTTGAAATGTGAAAAACGTTCAGCTGGCAGGAGAACACGGGCAAAAACATTGGTCAGACTCCACAAGACCAGAAAGGATGGCCATCTCCGTGCATACACGTCTGGGGGGTGGAGATGATGAGTCTACAAAAGCCTTCACAGGTCCTCAGGCTTTGGCTTTCAGAGACATACCCAGCATTCACTTCTCTCTGTAATAGAGCAGGTAGCTTTTCAGGGGGTCCGGCAGAGGAAGGCTGAGGATTTTCTCTCGGAGATAGTTGACCGGCGGGTCGGCTTTCGTGTCGTAGACCACTTTTTCCTCCTCGTCCCTTAGGTCCGCTTCAGTGTCTTCATAGTTGTTGTTGTTGTCGTCGAAAGGGTTCGGGATCTGGCTGGCGAAGACTTCTTTGTCTAGGAAGACGATGGTCCCCATTCGGCGTCTGCGTAGGCGTTTGCGCTTGTAACGAGGCTGGCTTTTCAGCACCCCGCCCCCTCTGGCTCCGGTTTCTTGGTTGATGGTCTTTTTAATGCGGCCTCTGATGGCAATGCGGGTCAGATCTTGCAGAGTGCGCACATTTGGCAGGGCTGAGAAGTAAGAACGAGGAGAGACAGATTGATAGAACATAACACGTCTTGGCACTTGGCTGCCCTGCTAGGCCTCAATGGTCCTAAACACTGCAGGCTGTGTGCTCACCGGTTCAATCACCACCCTGCAACTGCCCGCTGCAACTCAGAATTTACTTATTAGGATCTCATGATATAAAAAAAGAAATATATTGAGACAATTAGACTATCAAAAAGGTTAAAGAATATGTTCTATCCTATTTTAGGTCTTCAGCCCCCAGCTCAGGATAGATGCACCATAAAAAAGGCACATTGTGAGCATCTCATTCATAGTGATGAATACAGTCACAGCAGGCCAGGACGCCCCTCATCTAATCTTCTGAGCACTTCATATCCAACACTGAAAGTGATATGGACACGTGACACTTACTCCACTGAAGTAGAGATGCAACCGATACTAGTATTGGTATCAGTGCCGATACCGAGTATTTGGACAAGCACTCATACCTCACCCAAATGCTCCGATACCTTCCCTGATAGAGGAACTTCCAGTCAGAGGAAGCTTTCTTCTGACCGGCTGTGCCGTAGGGGAACATGGAGACGGATTCCCGGCCAATCAGGAAGCCAGGTCATTACTCGCCGCCCGGCTTCCTGATTGGCTGGATGTCCTGGTCTGCACATCTAACAACTTCCTGTAATGTACAGGGGGTACAGTACTACGAATCAGACCCACCCCTCGTCTGCACATCTAACAACTTCCTGTAATGTACCGGGGGTACAGTACTACGAACCAGTCCCAATCCTTGTCTGCACATCTAACAACTTCCTGTAATGTACATGAGGTACGATACCACGAAAGTCGGCATGAGCACTGTAGCATTACAACTAGTGGGAGCTTGGGTAACTCGGATGTTCATAACTTGGGGACTGCCTGTACTTATGTGGGCAAAGTTGCATATTTTAAGCTTCATTTTGTTTTAACTTACGGAGATCGAGAGGTTGGCTCTTCCCCGTATCGGATTTACCGGGCTGCACAAGAGGAGCGAATGACACAGCCAAGATCTTCTCAGTTTCCCAGCTTGAAGGTCCAGTACGAGTGATCTTTGTCAGCTGGATTAGAAGGAAGGGAGACATTGAGATCCATTGATACTTTGGAGCTGAAGAATTCTGTTTACGCGTTAAGACACAAAGTGAAAGTCAGTGCAGGTTCATGTATGGGACCATCACAAGCCCTCTGAGCTCCTTAAGGAAGTATGGAGGCTGCCACTCAGAAGCTGCCATGCAAATACTAGTTGCCTGAGTCATGCCAATCCAAAAGGTTACCAAAAACAGTAATGAGTGTTCAGATCAGGAGCAGATGCCCCATGTTAGTGCCTCTAAAGTCCGGAGAACTAGCATTTTCAGGACATCAGCAAAGCCAGCCTCCACACTTTTGGCTCCTTGTCTCTAAACCGACATGAAGCATTGCATGCAGTTGGTAAGGTGCTAGTGTCAGTGGAGGCTGTAAATATAGCAAACGGATTTTTTAATAAAGTAATCTGATAAGCCTGAACGGGAGCTACCTTTTCCTCCAGAGGCATGACAAGAATCCCACCCACTTTCAGCAGATTCTTCATGTAATCTTCATGCTCCTTCTGCACCCCAGCGCCGCAATAGACGCGATCGTAGGCCGAGGCCTCCAGAGAGATGTCCAGGCAGTTCCCAGCCACAAAGGATGGCTCACACAACTCAAACCTGAAAAAGGAGAGAGAGAGAGAGACACAGAAAAATGACAGGCCGCTCAAGAAAAAGGCCCCTCTCCACTGATCAGCAGAGGAAGAGGGAGGAGGAGGCCACAAGTAAGACTCAGGTTTTGGCGTTACATTAAAGAGCCTTTTTAGTGATCCTGGAACTACACAAAGTATGGGAGAGCACAGATTGCTCTAGATGATGCCCACTTTCCTTGTTTGCTGCCAATTCAAGTCTGACCAAGAGCTGTGTATAGTCTGTGCCCCTATCTGATACCATCTGCACCCAGATGGTCTGATTGTTATGGGAGGTTCAGCCATAGATACTGATCCAGAAGTATGGCAGCACCTTCCTTTACACCCAGACAATATGACACAAAAGCCTCATGCAGCCACATACATGCCAGGACACAAGGACCTGCATACTCATTCCAGGTCCATAACTCAATAAGGAGTTGTACAAGGACCAGAATGACAATTTAGAGTCCACATCTTTATTAGCAATGGCCACCACCTTAGCTCTATCCTTGTAGGTTCCCACCTAGGATCCCTTCCTCTGACCAAGCAAGTCTTACCTGTCAAAGCTGTCGCTGGTGCGGACAAACTGTTCCAATTTTTGCTTGGCATATTCAATGACATCTGGGTGAAGCTCAACGCCATGGTTGATGCCAAAAGGTCCTGAGGATACAAAAAGGAAACTGTTGCAGTTGTTCCATAAATAAAAGCTCACCCTTTCCTTGTGTGCAAGGACTTCCTTTTTCCAAGATCCTCCATCAGGGTTCACTGCAGTCTGTGCCCCCCGCTGGGGAGATTCACCCTGTTTGTCCTGGTGAGCATTGCCAATGGGAAGGAAAACATAAAATCTGGCAGTTGTCACCAAAATGACATTAGGAGAAATATTTCAATGGGGACACCTGTGCTGATGACAGCAATGATTTCCTCTCAACTGTTGTGCCTTGGAGACAGGAAGTGAGGAGGAAGGAGGATTCCTTTATAATGGTTTCAGCTTAACATGCAGGTTTCTTCCTTTTCTCAGTACTCCGGCAGCAAAATAAATATCACCACTGGAATGCCAGTGAACATGCCCATCACTCAGGTGATGTAGAATATAAAGTGCCACCTTAGTTACTGGATACATAGAGTTAGGAAGGGGAGTCAGAGGGTACCAAAAACTGAAAGAGAGATGGTGCCCACTCAAATTTTAGATGAAGTTGACCTTTAAGCTCCACCTGCATCAGCAGTCATGAGGGCTACTTCTACATGGCTGGTAAGAACGTTTGAGCATACATAAAACCCCCACACCTAGAGGAGTGTCAATAGCAGCCTTGGAAGGTGGTCTATGAGATCGGTCGGTGCCCAGTGCACCACTAGACAAGAAGAGAGGGCCAGCCCAAGATCAGCGGACATATATATATATAAAGACTAATAGAAGTTTGGCTTACCCAAGATTAACCCAACCATTGTGCTGAGGTAGCCGGTCCCACTGCCCAGGTTGAGGAAGGACAATCCTGGCTGGAGCTCCAGCGCCTCCATCACTTCGGAGTAAATGCACGGAGCGGAAAGGTGAATGTTCCCGTGCTTCCACGCCAAGTCCTTATAGGCATTCTCCTTAAATTCTTCCAGGTAGTAGTCGGCCCGGTCAATGGCTCGAAAGGCCTGCTCCACCTCCTCCGTGCGAATGTACTGAGCCTCTTTCAAGTTATCGATCAAGTCGTCATTGTCCTCCCCGGCACTCACAGCCCCTCCCATGGCGACTAGACTTGTGACTTTCCTAAGCTGCAAGAGATAATTAATATGAATAAGTCGGAGAAAGGCCAAGACCAACAGGATTTCTTTACAGCAGCCTACTACTGTGTTGTCCACCATCCAAGGGGGGCCACCTATCCAGTGTTTTTGGTATATAAAAACAGGTCCATGATAGTTGAAACCTTCCCTGACATTCAGGAGACATTAGAAATCTATATCCCCTTGATTGTGCCTTCAGTATTTACTCCAATGGCTTTTGCGGAATATACTCAATACCAGCAAAGTGAAAACTCCCATTGCCGCTCAACTTTATTCCTGACCACATCCAAAAAGTCAAGCCACTGAAAACAGAATGCATTTCTCGGTGGAGAAAAGAGAAGTTTAGTTTCCTCGGTGTCTCCTGATAAACTTGTGAAGACTCAAACTGTAAAACCGACATATGGCATCATTGAAATCTAGACAAGGGGAATGAGACTTGGCTCTATAATGGCTGTAAGGGTGCAGAGCCAAGGCTAGAAAAGGATCACCACCATGGTCCAACCAGAGCCAATCATCCCTTGTAAATGGCTAAAGGAAGGGTAGGCAACCTCAGGGCTCCAGTTGTAAAGATCATCATACCTCTGCCCCTGGAACCCATGCCTATGGCTGAGTATTGCAATGCCCCATGGGACTTGCAGGCCCACAACAGCTGGAATGCCAAGGTTGCCTACTCCTGGGCTAAGGTGTTCATGATACCAATCTGGAAGTGTTCATGTGGGTGAAAAGCATGACACCAACTGTGAAACATGGAAGTGTGATGATCTTGGGCTCTTTGTCTGGATCCAGAGCTAGCGACTTGCACAGAGTGACGGGCACTCCGAAGCAAATGGCCTACCACAAGCTTCCCCCCTGTTCTACACCCGGTTGGTCAGAGGTTTCCCCACAAAGCAAGATAATGTCCCCAAAAATCTCCAGGCGAAGGCATCAGATCATGAAACGGCCATCACAGTCTCCAAACCTGAACCCCATCAAGCTGGACCAGGAGAAAATGGGCAGAAGAGGGAAAGATGCTCAACCTATGAGCCATCAACATGTGTGGAATCTTCTGCACAGCTGTCCTACCACTGGTGACCAGTATCTCTGACACACACACACGTCTGTATTTATTGTTACTGCAGAATAAACAACAAAAGCAAAGCAGAAGGTGCTTACATGACAATCACATGTCAGGGCTCAGAGAGCACACCACAAGCAGCCCTCTGGTGTATGGGCAGACTGTGTGCGGAGCACCGAACGAAGGCTGCAGACTGATTACCTACAACAGAAAGATTTCCTGTGGGAGGCATTTTGGTTTTTATACATTCACAGGACACGGGGCAGATCGGTGTGGGGGGGCAGGACCATGAAGAACATTACTGAACGATGCAGCCATGATTTTCTAGGTTCATATTGCCCAATAAGAGGCTGTGGTATCTCCGCAGACATGAGTGCATACAGAGGGACGTGTGACCACGGGAGCTTGTGTGTGGTCATTGTTGGGAGTTTCCCCATCATTCTCTTTCCTTGTGGAACCGGTCACCAGGATAGAAGGAAATACCCCCAACAAGGACACAAGACTAAAATCCAAACCCCCACTTGGAGCTGTGCTCAGTGTAGTCTCATCAGATCCCTGGAACCCCAACATTATGCAGTCTTAGTTCTCCCGACAGACCAGTGCAGGTCCGCACAGTAACACATACCCCAATGCTGTCATTAGGTTCACCCACCCAGGGCAGCTGGTACTTCCCATCACCCCAACGCTGCAGAGCTCCGGCTCCTCTTCTTGTCACCCTAATGTCTCACACTCACACCCCAGTAAAGTGCAGCTCTGGCCCCTCCCCCACACACTCACCCCAGTACAGTGCAGCTCTGGCACCTCCCACACTGATCTCCAGTACAGTGCAGCTCTGGCACCTCCCACACTGATACCCCAGTACAGTGCAGCTCTTGCACCTCCCACACTGATACCCCAGTAAAGTGCAGCTCTGGCCCCTCCCCCACACACTGACAACCCAGTACAGTGCAGCTCTGGCACCTCCCACACCGATACCCCAGTACAGTGCAGCTCTGGCACCTCCCACACTGATACCCCAGTACAGTGCAGCTCTGGCACCTCCCACACTGATACCCCAGTACAGTGCAGCTCTGGCACCTCCCACACTGATACCCCAGTACAGTGCAGCTCTGGCACCTCCCCCACACACTGACAACCCAATACAGTGCAGCTCTGGCACCGCCCACACTGACACCCCAGTACAGTGCAGCTCTGGCACCGCCCACACTGACACCCCAGTACAGTGCAGCTCTGGCACCGCCCACACTGACACCCCAGTACAGTGCAGCTCTGGCACCGCCCACACTGACACCCCAGTACAGTGCAGCTCTGGCACCGCCCACACTGACACCCCAGTACAGTGCAGCTCTGGC